TTACCACGTACTACTGCCCTTTATTGGGTCCTTGATAATGCAAACTCGGTAGGGGAAAAAAAAAAGAAGTACCTTAATGCTATTTGCATTAGTAACACTAATAAGTATTCACAACAACAATAACTCCACAAGAGCCATGGGTTCAGTTAGCTTGCTAACCATGGCATAAAAGATACCATAGTATCTTTCCAGAAGTTTCTTTAAAAAATAAGTATTCAAATGCCAAACTTCTGGCAGAGGGATAGTAGCACACAGCATCATTGCTTGCCTTCTTTAGAACTGGTTGTTACAGCTGCATAAAAGTTAGAAATGCTGCACAGAAAATGGAAAAGTAGGAAGCAACCCAACAAGAATCCAGAGGGTCAGTTATGACTCAGAAAAGGGCAAAAGAAAAAAAAAATGAGAAGAAGCTGTCAGCAAAGTAAACTCTCAGCATAAACTGCCCAGCAACTCAATCCGAAAAGGCAAATCCAGATATCTGGATCCAAATATATTCTTCACTTCAAGCATTAGGAAAAATATGAATGCTAGTGAACTGCCCTACTCATTAACGGCCACATAAATCAGCAGGTGAGTACAACACACTTACTCGTGACTGCTGAAACACCAGTGGACCAGATTTGAAAAAAAACCCAAACCTACAGAAGCATCAATTGTGAACTCCAGAACTGGCACACAAGCTACACTGAACAGCTCTGAATGTTAGAAAATGTTGCTTACAGCAGCCCTTCAGAACACAAAAAAGGATTTTAAATTCAGCAGAGAATTTCAGGTCCTGTTGCCTGTGTCACCCATAAGGCATTCAAATCTGCATCACATTCTCAAAACTGACCCAACAACAAACTTAAACAATCCAGTAATGGACTGGCAGTAAGTGCACATTACCAGCAGGTCATTCTTAGGTCCCTTTTTAACATTCCCATTAGCAATTTGAAAGAGGATGGGAGTGGCAAAGGCAAAGAAGCCAGATGACACTTGCAGAGGACACCAAGCTGGGTGGAACAGTAAACAAGGACAAATATAGAAGAACACACTGGGTTTTTAAATAAAGACCAAAGCATACTTCATACAGAGGAGAAAATGGAGCAGCACTGACCACATTTACACAGACTTCACACTCATACAACTAATCTTCCTGGGGAGGAGCTTGCACCTAGATAACAGCAACTCTTAAATCAGTCTGTTACAACAGAACAACACTGGAAAGTATGTAGTGCAAAAAACTACATGTAACCACCTACAGCATCTCTTGAAGATGAAATGCTGTTTTAGTGCAGGAAAAATTGCTTTCCAAAGGCAGCTGAACGCACGGTACTGGCAGGATCACAAGTAATCTCAAAACACTACACAATCACTACAGAAATTTAGGTGTTGTCTGGAAGAATGTTGCAGATGAAAACAAAAAACGTTCCCACAGCTGGTGAATCAGCTGGGCTCGCTCCCTCACAAGACAAAAAGTAACTGGAAGCACACCTGAACGCATTTTATGCCAAACACTACTTTCAAAAGCAAATGTTCTGCAACACAAGGTGAATACCATAACAGATAGAGCAACCAACACTTCCTACATGTTTTATTTGGGTAAAGGCGGAAAACAACAGCAGCAACGTCAAAAAACATGATTCCAGAGCAGCCCAGCCGCCGGACCGGACCCTCGGGAAAGCGGGGGCGATGAGCAGAGAAGCGCAAGGCACCCAAACTCGGATGCAAATTCCGGTTTGAGGAGGGCTCCGGCGGGCAGGCGGCGAGCAGGAACCCTTCCCCGCTCTCCGGAAGGCTCCCGTCCGCCGTCCGTCCCGTCCCCCCGGCCGACGGAGGCAACCGCCGCGGTCTCGCCCTCCGCGCGGCAGTGCCCGGCCCGGGGCAGCGCAGCGGCCCTCCCGCTGCCCCCTCCCTGGAAGGCCGCGGCCCCGGAGCTCCTGCACAAAGGCGCCGGCAGCGAGCCCCCCTCCCTTCCCGGCCGCGCTCCGCCCGCCGCGGCCCGGCACGGGCCGGTCCCCTGCCCTCCGGGGCGCCACCCGCGGGAACGGCCGCGCCCGCCGCGCCCGTGAGCGGCGGCGCGACCTCGTCGCGGGGCCGGGCCGCGCGTAGGCCCGGAGCGTACCTGGGCGGCGGCGGGCCGGGCGGGGCCGGGGGCGCAGCGGCCCCGGGTCCGGTGTCGCCGCCGCCGCGCCGAGCTCCGGCCAGGCGGCCAGCCGAGCGCCGAGCGGGCCCGAAACGGCGGCGCGCCGAGCGCGGGAGCAAGGCCCGAGCAGCCGAGGCTAGAACGCCGCCAGGCAGCGCCAGCCGAGCGACGAAGTCTTCCACCGCCGCCCGGGGGCGACGGAGGGCAGGCGAGAGCAGTCGAGCCCCGAGGGCCGCGGCACCGACCCGAGCTGGGACCCCGCCGGGAATTAAAACCTGCACAACTCAGCCCAGAGCTGTGGGGTACCCCAAACAAGCTCTTAACAGAATGGGTGTAAACTAATACGTATCATAAGCAGACTGTATAAAACAGATTGAAAGTTCTGTTCCAAACTTCCAGGATAAGGGTTGTCCAAACTGAACCACAAATCTCAAAGCAATTTGCAGAAAACAATTCTTTTCAATTTTTTTTTTTTTCAGCCTGGAAATGAGAAGGTTTTGGGGTGACCTAATTGCGGCCATCCAGTACCTGAAAGGAACTTACAAGAAAGATGGGGCAAGACTATTTACAAGAGCATGTAGTGACAGGACTGGGGGAATGGGTTCAAACTGAAAGGGAGTAAGTTTGGATTAGTTATTAGGAAAAAATTCTTTACTGTGAGGCTGCTGAGGCACTGGAACACGTTGTCCAGGGAAGCTGTGGATGCCCCATTCCTGAAGGTGTTCAAGGCCAGGCTGGATGGGGCTCTGAGTGACCTGGTCTAGTGGAAGATGTCCCTGCCCATGTCGGGGGGGTGGGAACTCAATGATCTTCAAGGTCCCTTCCAACCCAAACCATTCTATGATTCTAGGAAAACCTAGTTGGCATGTGATATGTGGGATTGGCAGGAGCAAAGGCAGCCTGCAGCACAGCCAGCCAGGCTTTGAGGGAGTATCTTAAGGGAACACCAAAAAGGGAAAAGGGCTGATGATGGGGTTTTACAGGGAATTTAGCCAAGAAGTGAAAACTGCAATACTGTGAACAGCCAGTCACTGTCACTCTTTAACAGGTGACTGAGACTTATCAGGTATTACATGGTCAGGGTAGACTTTAAGTCTCAAAGTTCTGACAGTGCACAATCTTGTAAGTATCCTGAAATGCAGCTGGCAAGACGAGCTGAAAGTACAGAGAAGCTGGAAAACAGGGAAGAAACATGAATCACAGCTGTCAATTTAAATATTGCCTAAACCTGAGGGAAAAAAGTGTTAGGTGAATTGTTTTGAAGGAAGCTGCTTAGGAGTATGTGGGGCAAAGTGCTCCCTGCATTTCCCAAGTGAACAGAAGTGTTCTGACATCTGACTGAGGAAAGAATAGTCGTATTCAGTGGATTGGCTTTGTCTGGTGTGGCCTGATGCAGTTTTTGCCCAAACTGAGAAGCAGTGAAATCTGTTTTGAAATTAAACTCTACCAAAAGTGACAGTGGCTGAAAGAAGATAAAACTGAGCAACAAATGTCTTCCAGGAAGTGCCTCCACTCTGAGTTCTCTCTGGCCTCAGCACATGCTGGGGAGAGCTATTCATAGCATAAATTGAGAAACTCCAGCTTGTTATTATGTGACAGTGTTTGTACCTACACATGCCCAAGTCTCACTTGACCTCAGCGTCACCCATGCAGCTCATTCAGTGTCTGCTGGTGTTTTGGTCTAGTGATCAGTATTTTTAGCACAGACCATCAGATGTGATTGTGAGCCATCAGGCACCTTATATAGCAGCAACTCTTACCTTAAAAATGCCTTTTTTATTTTTTTAGAAAACAATGCTCGTCTGCTTCTTCCTAGCTAAAAGGAGCAGGAGTTTCACCACAGTGACCAAGAGTAGTTCCTATATGATATGTCATGGGAAGGTATGTAAAGAAAATAGAATTACATCTCAGATTGTTGTACATTTTACAGTTCTCATCAAGGCTTCTGAAAACATCTTGCTTACACATCATAAAGCATGCTTGGTTTTCTGTAAGATAGAAAATGCTTACTGCCATTGCAAACTTGGCAGACTGTATCTAATCCTGCCTCTCCATTCTGCACTTCAAAATACGTCCCATACTCTTGTAGTCTTCAAATGTGGAGCATAATCCAGGCTCATTTCCTCTAAAAGGACAGACCTGCTGTGCCAGGTGTTTGCACTGTTACGTTAAGTAGTTACAATTTTGTAGCATTCTGCATTCCCCATTATTTTGTTTCATTTATTGCCCAACAAACAATAAAATGTAAGAAACAAAATTTTCTCAGACTGCTGTCATGAGATCCTTGGAAACACTTGAGCCTTTTAGAAGGAGAATGTTGCCAGGAAACTGCCCAGCCTTGTGCCAGCAACAACAGTGTGCATCAGTCATCTCATTCCACTGAAGAGGTAGATTGCCAGCAGCGCTAGAGCAGCCTTTCTGTACCTCAGCTTGATCTAAACGAAGAAGTTTTGCAATCAGTTCAATTTCTGTGACCCAGTCAGTCCTTGACATTTCTTTTACAGCAGCCAACAAGATGACAAGTCTCCTGTTGCAGCAGACATACCTAGTAAAAACGAGACTCTTAACATTCACTTGCCTATGTCCTGATGTCTGTTAAGTACCTGACAGTCAACCATAGCTTAACATCTTCTCCAGCCTATCTGGGAAAGAAGAAACGTTCCACTCTTCTTGACTCTCTAGATACGTGCAAGCAAGAAGCCAGAGCCTTCCCAGAACACAGTTCAGTTTTCAGAGAAATCATTGGGTTTTGTGAGATTTGCAAAACAGCAAAAAGGTATTTAGCAAGAATTTATACCTGCAAATAAAAAGATAAAGGTTTGCTTTTCTGCTCATGAATTCGTCGTAGACAGGAGCTCACATGGAATTTTACTTTGTGTGAAATGCTGTTTAAAAATCAATCATAAGTGTTTTGGGTTACACAGTAGCATAGAATTGTTGCTTTGTAAAAAAGTGCAAGGTTTACATATTTTTCATCATTATCAAAGGCAACTTCCCAAATTTCTTCACTGATGTCACGTTAGTCATTGTTCTCTAAGTCAGGTAAAAGGGGAGCCTCTAAGTATCACAACAGTAAAACTTTAACAATTAAATTGCATCTCTGACGAAACTGAGAGAAGTTCAGAAATTCGCCTGAAATGAAGAGTGTAAAATTTCTCCTTGTCTCACATCTGCTTGGTCTTTACTGACTTAAAGAAGACAAAGGGGCATATCTGCTCTGGATAACTTCCCAGATGAACTGTTAGAAGCCTTTTCTCTGTCACAACATTAGCTAAAATGAGTAAGTAAAAGTTCCTGACGAATACGACAAGCTTCCGAGTCCACTGATTCCATTTGCTCATACTCTTCTTCCGGTTGTTCCATGTGTCCTGTGGCTGGCGAGGACCACACGTCCAGCCCGTGTTCCAGGGAGATGTTGTGAAGCACACAGCAGGCCAGAATGATGTGGCTGGATTTCTCTGGAGAATACTGCAGGGTGCCTTTGGACCCATCCAGGCAGCGGAAACGCGACCGGATGGTTCTGAACGTCCGCTCGATGATGTTGTGAGTGGCAGAATGGGCCATGTTGTACCGGTATTCCGCAGGGGTCTCGGGGATATGCAGAGGGGTCATCAACCACGTCCGCAGTAAGAAGGAGCTGTCACCTGTTAGCAGTGAAAAGGAGAAGGTTACACACCCACAGCTACAGATTTCAGCTCCTCACTGTCAGTTTTCTGGTACAGCAGATACAGAATAACTTATTTCTCTGGCTAAAACAGAAGGCATGAAAGGGCAACAATAACTCCAGTTTACAAATGTGACAAAGTAAAGGCATTCAGTTTTACTCAAGAAAATCCTGGTAGAACACATGGAAGAGTTTTAAGTGAATTCATTTACTGCATAAACCAGTGAAAGACAGCTGGACTGGGACCCTATGTAGAATTAAAAATTGCATAATTCAGCTTAGAAAGGTGTAAGATACTGAAAACAAGCTTTTAACAGAATAAATGTAAACTAATACACACAATAATCAGACAGTATAAAACACAGATTGGAAGTTACTGTTCTAAACTTCTAAGGTAAGGATTGTCCAAACTGAATCACAAATCTCAAAGCAATTGGCAGGAAAGCATTGAGGCTCTTGACTCAATAAGGAGACAATATATAGTAGACTTTCCACTGAGAAGAAGGAGGAAAAATTGGCTTACCAAGTAACCAGCCATCTTTACGTAGCTCAGTTTCAAACTGGCTTGTAAGGGCTGCCTGCTCTAACACTGTGCAGTCGGGCAGGCTGCCTGGCCAGTGCGTTTCTGCACTGAGGAGGACTCCTCTGGCATCACACACCATCAGGCAGTTCAGGGAATGGAGACCCTTTCGGTTCACATAGGACAGGTCCTCAGCATTTGGTGCTTTGATTGCCACATGGGTGCAGTCAACCACCCCAAGCACTCCTGGCATGCCTGCCAGCCCATAAAAGTTGTCCTTTAGGCTCTGCACAGTAGCTTCATCCTCAGGAAAGTGAATAAACTGTGAGGCTCTTTCCACCAATGCCTCAGTTACATTGGCAACACAACGGCTCATGGAGGCTTGACTAATGCCAATTGCATCCCCCATGCGAGTCTGGAAGGAGCCAGAGGTATAGAAACCCAAAGCAGCAAGTATTTGTGTCTCCGGACTGATGGCCCTGGACCGCTGCGTAGGGCGTGAGAGAGTGGCACCCAGAAGATCCACCAGGTAGTAAATGAATTGTCGGGGAAAGCCGTACGTGGATACTAGATATTCGTCTGTGACATCCTCCAGCTTGAAGCGATCCAAAGTCCTGTGTCCACGGCCATAGAGCAAGAGGTCGCAGTCAAGAACCGCGATAGGTACAGCCATGGCTGACGGCCAGGGGGCCCTGGGGCTCCTCCGTGACAGGGCTTTCCCAGAGGCTTCACCTGCATAAAGCAAAGGGGAAGGAGACTCAGAACAGTTGTTACTGGTGAGCTCCGTTACTATTTTCCTTTTACTCTGACCAGCCAGCAAACATCTTTACTTCTTTGTATCAGCTTTTAAAAACACAGGGGTGGCAGCAGGTGGGCTCACCGCGGAGCCGACAACTCTGCCCGGCGCTGG